ATTTAGTAATTGTTAGATTGCTAATCACAAATTACTGATTTTTCTTTTACTTAAATAGAAGTTAGGCGTTGTTAATAGTAGTTGAATAAAATAATTTTCATGAAATTATAATTCGAATGCTCTAAATTCACTTTACTAATTCAAATCAAGGGACAGATGCATGCCATACATGCATATGTCAACCTATTTGTACAAAAAATCTATACATGTAACAGAATTTGACTTCGTAACTTACAATATTTACACGAGCATTTGATTTATTATGTATACGTCTTGGTAATTTTCTTTTCTTTTATGCTTCAAAACGATTGATCTTTATTCCTATTACCACTGAGAGAAGTATATCTCTATATCTGATCAGGCCTTTTTAAATTGGTTTCTTTTGAGAATAGAACTTCACCTTGCTACTTTCTTGATTTCAGGAGTTCACGCTGTGTTCTTTTGATAGCCTATGTAGTTATTTAAGATTCCGTCTTTTAGATGGAACGAGTATTCTCTTGAAAATATATGTTTAAAAAGTAGGAAAAAATTATTAAAAATATGAAGAATAATTTTATTAGGAAATATAATTTTCGACTTCTCATAGGGAAGCAGGACCTTTGAAAGGCTTCCCGACGGAGATGATCCTCATCTTAAGTACAAAGGGGGCTCTAGATTCACTGCAAATAATCAGCATTCTCACATTCATTGTAATCTTCAAACATCTTTTCATCATATATTTATTACACAATTATAGCTAGTAATCCCAAATCCCAATTGTGGTTGTACATCTAAACATGCCCCTATTGCTTTTAAACATCTACAGGACGAATAATATTCTATCCAATGCTTCTCTTTCTACTATGAGGAATCGGCCAAGTGATTTCTTCCCCTAAAGACTTCAGATCATTCTATATCCTAGCAAACCTTCAGGTGACATTTCAATTTCCATAAAGATCGAATGAAAACGAGAAGTCACATTACACATCTCAAAACATCAATTTTCTTCGGATATCATGTTTTAGCATTTCCTTACGACTCTCCAGCAGCAAACTTGTTCCAACATGACTGACAGATAGACCGGCAAAACTTATTTATAGTGGTGCCGATAAAATTCATTCATCGAGACAATTCATTTCCTCCGAGCCCACAGCATTACAAGAGAGAATCCCATCAGTGACATGATTACAGTCTGCAAAACGCAAGCAGAAATTAGAGTAATCAAACATCATCGTCGACAAACTCTCCATCCCAGCAATTAAAACATCAGAAATGAAATAAAGAGAGCCAAAGTCCAGATTTTTAGTTGTAAGCTCAAATTAGAGATATAAACACAACCAGCTTGATAAATTATCAGGATGTAACTGTTTAGCCACTAGTAAAAAGTAATATCCAAGAAGTGAGCAATTGATGGCAACATACTTATCAAGTGATCCCACCAGATCAGCTTGAAGACAAACACCATAAATTATCAGCACCAGCCACTATATATGTAATTCTAGAATTAATTATATCAACTTTTCAGCAAGCAAAAATGACTAGGTTCAGAACAGAAGTCATTTATGCGTTCTACACAAGTGAACTTGTGGACTTACAGAAATAGCAGGTGGCACACTAACAAGTGGATCTTGGAAAAATTTATTTGCAAGTGCAAGGGCCAAAAGACTGCTCTGCATCCCTGTAAGAAGGGGAGGGGAATTGGTCAGACTACAACGAGGAAACAATATTGCAGAGGTGTCAATTACCTGTTTCATAGGATAGTGTCCTTTGTAGAGCTTTTACGTCTGGTGCATTGTGGAAGACAACACCAGCAAGGGAATATCCAGAAATAAATGCTGATAAATGGAATGCAATCACAAGTAGCAAAACAGATATCCCCGAAGGGGACATAACTGATTTTATGTTAATAGCAAGTGGAGCACCAACACAAAGAGCGGTCACAAACACCGAAAGTGGAGGCAGAAGTGGCCGGATGGCATTGCATATTCGAGGAAAGAACCTCCACACACAAGTCAATATAGGTAAGAGAAACTGTTATAACTAAAACAAGAGGGTGGTTAAAAACACAGTTGGACACAAAACTTCAAGTGTTATTTTACTTAGGTCATCAAACTTTTTTTGTTCCAACTTAGTCACTGAACTTTCACTTCTGTTTAGTGCTTAGTTTAGGCACTCCATTTGTCTAAATCGTGAACAGAAATGCAGAAGAGTGGCACCAAAAAAAAAACAAAAAAAAACTGTTAAAAACTTGTCCACTTTGATGAGCTAGTAAGATTTCAAAGCTTCTTTATGCCCTGTCCTCAATTCCATGAACCTCATTAATTTTATTAACTTAATTAATGGAGACAGGTAGAATGCCTAACTGATAGTCTGGAAAAGGTGAAAGTTCAGTGACAAAATCGAAACAAAAAGAAGTTCGATGACTGATGTGAAACGACACAGTTGGGTCCCTAACAGTGTTTTTAACCTTTAATCTGAGGGGTACAAAGCGATATGTTTAACTAATTACCTATTCAAAAGTAACCCAGCTGCAATGGGAGTGACCACAATCTGTACAATATTTGAGACCATTCCTTTCACATCAACAGGCAACCTTTTGCCAATAAGCAATAATGACAAGAATGGGGTGACCAAAACCGCAGTTGCCGTAGACAGTGATGTCATGACAATGCTAAGTGGGGCCATTAGTGGATCTGTTAAAAATGTAGCATAATTGGAGAGCTGGGCCCCGCTAACACATGAAGTCAACATGATCCCTGCAGCTGATCCATATAACTATAGGAGTTAATTTTTTTATCAGATTTTGTGCAAAAAAGAAACAAGATATTTACCTAAGGAAGTCGGAAGACCAAATATAGACATTGCAATCATGCCAAAAATATACCCAAGGAGGGGTTTCACAACAAACTGTCCTACATAGCCAGCAAAAATGGCTGCTGGTCTATTGAATGCTTCAAGAAAATCTTTTTCACTAGAATTAACTCCAACTGCAAACATCAAAAAACCCAATGCTGGGGCGTAGTACCTGAAATGGTATATAGACAAAAGTTAAGAGCAAGCCCCCGGGGGTGGGGGTGGGGGGGGGGTACTAAACCTTATTTTTAATAAATTTGAGATCTATTATGTTGAAGACTATTTTCAATAAATAAATTTGCCCCCTCTTTTTCAACTTAAAACTTTCAGAGAATGTAGTTCAACGTGATGGTCTTGAATTCAAGTCTTACAATCACAGTTTATGAAAATTGTGCAATTGGCAATCTTTCGTTAAAAATGAATTCCGCCTATACTTGAGGGGATCTCTGAAGACAAATTTTGAATAAATTAATTTGTCCCCACTTGGACATCTTAAGCTTTTAGACAGTTGGTGGTTCAACAGGTTACATGGATCCTTCCACACCATTCCATTGCTATAGCATTGTAGCATTTACTAGTAGATAATCTAAAAATTAAGAGCATCATTGAAATAAAATTTCAAGTAGTTCAAGATGAAAAGCTGAAATGTAAGCCGCAAGAACCATCCTCAAGTTCATTAAAACAATGTTGAGTGCTTGCGTGTCTGGAAGCAAAATAAGCCCCTGTTTGTGTTTCATTAAAATGAGATTATTGGGAAAATGTATTTTGGAATAGTGATTTTTTGGATAATGTGTGATTAAAAAATAAGAAGTTTTTTGTTTACGTGTAATATTATATGGGAGAATGTATGGTTGAAAATGAGTTTTGAAAAAGTGCATTTTTGGAAAAATGGAGCCCAAACATGGGCTAAATGTGTAATGATTTATTTCATTGCACATATTCCCTCCCTTGAGAATTCTGGCACGGGCTTATATAGGCATCACAATGATTACTTGTTGACATTGCAGGTAAATATTCCATCAGATGAGGATATGCATGAGCATTTGCGAAGACTATCATCCTAATACATTTGAATGAAACCAAACAAGTCAATGCACGTCACCGTCACCGACCATCTTTAATCATTTAAAGAATGGAACATACCTGTTCGTGAACCATGTAAAAGAAGGCGGATATATAAGAGCCAAAATTGTGCTTGCTAGAACCACTTGAGGCAGAATAGAATTTGCCCCCTTCAAAATCTCAACAAAGGAAACCTCCTTTTCATTAAGCAACCAAAATTCAAGTCAAACCAAAAACCACTGTTAGTGAAAGTTCCTAAGAACTAGAAATGATAATAGTGTTCAATAAAAATAAATTTCACATGCATTAAGGACTATTCTACTCTAACAAAGAATACACATGTAATGCATAATTTTTTCCCTCTCTTAACGTTCGCTCACTCCTCTTCCTCTAATAGTTAGAGTCCTTGAGTGCGGCCATCTTGAGTTAGACATTTTTTTAGGTTCTTCCATTGTATAATTTTCATTTCCAGTTCTCCCGTTATTCTTGTGGGTTGGCAAATTTGATTGCACTTGATGGTAATTAGCTTTTTCAGCTGATTGCTTTTACTTTAGAATTTTATATGCTGCTGACATTGTTAATGAGTTTGGGCCTGCCGTCTCTTCTGTCTTTCGTCTTTAATAGGTAAATGACAATTGGGTCTTGTCTTTTTACTCGCACAAAATTGGCTGTCAAATGCAGTTGAATCAACGTAAATGTTTTCCTCTCGTTATAAAAAGGCATTATGGTGAGACATCAAATGAAGAGACGGTACATGATTCAAGGACAAATTTTCTTCAACCTAGAGAGAATGAGAGAACTCAAAAGGTGCATGGGAACAGGCAAGGGTGATTGGCATGTGGACCAAGGCGAGCTTAGAGCAACGGTCTTCTAGGGTGACTTTCTTTTTAATATTATATCATTACTTTATTTTGTAGTTTTATTAAAACTAGGACCTATTGTTTACTTTTAGAAGGGACAAAGGACATAGGATGCCTGACATAGAGTGCAATAAAACCAAATAGTAGATTTAAAGGAGAAGGGGAAAGGGAAAAAAAGAAGAAAAATGAGGGGAAAAAGAGAAGTGGGAGAGAACACAGAGAAGAGGGAGAGAACAAAGAGAATTTAGGAGCAGAATATCAAGTTTATTTCATACCAAAGTTGTATGTGTTACAATGCATAAGCAAACCCTCTATATATAAAAACATTAGAAAATCTATTAAATCAAACCCTAATTATATTTCCTAAAATAAAAATCCTATTTGGAAACTAAATTAAATTACTATCTCTATTAAGATTCCCATTAATGCCATTAAGAATAAAGTATCAACTTGGTTTTGTTAAACTGCCACGAAGAATTTATGTGATTATAGATTTTATTTTGAATATTAAATAAAATATTATGAGAAGTTTTCTCCATATTTTGTCCAATTCTCGACATTCACATTTTGAATCAACAATTTTTTTAATAAATCATCTATCGTATGTATTCCACCATATCATTTATGATGCACTAGAATTGACGAGAGCGATGAACACAAATTAAAATATGTTAATTCTGAGAATATTCGTAAAATTAGGAAATCAAGAATTCTTTGATTCAAGAAGAATATAGAATTAGTGACACGAGAAAAAAATCTCAAAATTATTTAATTCAATAAACTAAACTGTCCAAACACTGTTCGTGATGGCTGCTTTAACAAAGACATAATACAACTTAATAAAATTAGAACCTAGTCCCTAATCTATTATAAGAATTATTAACGAGTCCTTACGAGTAAATAAGCAATAAATATTAACAATACCATACAATCCAAGACAAAAATGTAAGATCACACCCCCTTCAGCATCGACCACATCTGCATGTACATATCCCTAATCAACCCTTGAGTAACACTATATATCTCCTCTAAAAATAATTAGAATCCTTGGGTAAGACTATCTTGATTTAAACTTTTTGTTTTTTAGTTCTTCTATTGTTTAACTTGCATTTCTAATTCTCACACTGTTCTTTTTAGCAAGGGAACAGGCAACTTCTAGTTAAGGCAGGTGCTGCTACGCAGTCCTTAAATTGTCTCCCACCTCATGATTTGGTTGATTCTAACCTATGAAGTAGAGATAAGGAACCGAACCATGAACAAGTCAAGGTTACATTGCATTGTCTAAATTTTTCTAAGATATAGATTTATATTTATACCTTTGTTTCTGTATTTTTATTTTTATTTTCAATATATAATCCTAGTTTGAGCTTTTTTCAATTTTGCAAGTGAAACTATTTAAATTAGAGGAGTGACTATTTATTTTACTATTTGCCAGTGCCATGAAAGAAAAAAAATGCATATGGTAGATATAAAACAAATCCAACCCGACTTCACAGAATGTTTCTCACACTATTTGGACTTTGTTTTCCACAAATTTTTTTCATAATTTTATATTACAAAATTTACATATGTTAAGTGTCAGGGACATGTTCCTCTTGTGCCAAAAATTTAAAAATATAAGAAAAAACATATGACGTGTCGGGTAAAGTGTCCCTCGTGTGTTGAAAATTCAAAACTATATAAACAATAGAAAATTTATAAATATAAGAAGCAACATATAATGTGTCAGCTGAAGTGTCCCTCGTGTGTCGAAAATGAAAAAAAAATATAATAATAGGACATGTTATGTGGCTTGTTAGACATTTTTCGTAGAGTGACCATACAGTCCACCCTAGGAGGAGTGTCCACGTGTTACAGATTCTGACAATATTTTTGCAGCTCCAGGACAAATAGCTAATATATATTTACCAATTTTCAAGGCCATGTATACTATCAGAAGCAACTTAGGTGATTAACATTGTGAGCATTCCTAACTCCATTTGGATGTTCTCTAGTGTTTATCATTTTTCAATTTTCTTTAAATAATTGAAATTGCAATGGGCATGTAGCTAGCATAGTTTCAAAGCATAAGATCCTCATTAACTTTTCAATAAAAACTATACAGTTTTAGTCGCAATGGAAGAGAAACCTCACACCCGAAAAGAAAATCTTATAAATTGAGTAAATGTTCAATGCAACAAATCACTTCCACAAATCAAAATGGAGTAGGAAACCTTACTTATAATTATGGTTTCGGAAATTATTTCAGAACCTGTGTAATTACACTTGAGCCTTGAAGGGACAATTTCTCATGCATTGCTAAGGTATGCCCAAATTATTGATATACAAAGGCAGCTTTTCTCAAGTGCCATTATTAGGCCAAATTTTGTACAAGGAAAGTGAAGCAATTAAGCTATCGTATAGGCTTAACTAGTTATGTTCATAGTTCGTAATTCCAAGTTAATTTAGGCACTTATAATCAGTGAAACTACAACCGCTATATAATCAAACATAGAGTTTCTCCAAGAAATCTTTTCTGCAAACAAAAGAATTAAACAATACAAAAGATACCTTCGCTGGTTGGGATGCATAATTAGATGAACTGTCCTCAAGAAAATTTTCTGTGGAACACTTGCTGATTAATGATCTTGAATTCCCACCTATATTAATTTTTTATTAAGAGCATAAGATGTTCTTATTCTTGTCCTTATGCATAAAGAACATGCCAACAAAATAGAACAGCAGCAAATAGTCTCAAATTCTTGAAATCCAACTTAAGTTAATTTCCATTAAGAGCATGTTTGGCCTAGTTTCTTCTACGAAAGAAGCCGGCTTATTTCGGCCGTGTCACTCTTGGTACTGCCGAAGAAAGCCAAAAAGAAGCCATTTTTCGCTTTTAAGCTAGACCAAACATGTAGATTAAATTTTATTCTACTTGTCTATCAGCATAAGCAACAACACATTTTCAAATCTCAAACTAATATTAATTAAAATACAACAGAAACTCACACGTGGGCACGGAACCCAGATGATAGGGAAGTCCCAACATTCGCAGACCTGCAATTTTAACAAAATTAAAGTTAGAAATTAACAAAACAACAAACCAAACTTGATAAAATATATTGATGCTAAAATAAAGAAACCTAAAAAGTGGAAGCACAGTTCTGGGACAGAATTAGTGAAAATCTTGTTGGGTTTAATGCGGAGTTTTATGGGTTTGTGTATCTGGAAATTGTGATTGTGATGGTGATGGTGATGGTGATGGTGATGGAGTTGCAGGAACTGAGAAGTGGAACTCATACTTTGCGGGAATTGTTCTCTGGAACTTAGAGCGAGAAAGTCAAATGTAATTCTTTATTTGTTTATAGAACAGCTCAATAGAGGGAGGGAGAGAGGGAGAGAGAGAGAGGAATGGAATCAATGGATTGTGCCAGGGCTATTTTCGGATTGAACCATTCATGGCAGATTGAAAAGAATAATGTTAAGCCCCGTTTGTCATCAATTTCATCAAACATTATTTGTTACAGTAAATAATCTCCACCACATATTCACTCAATAAAATATTCTACACACAAATCAATAAAATTACTTTACTTTTCAATCACACATTCTCCAAAAAATACTATTCAAACTCTATTTCTTCTTCCAAAATGGAAGACAATCAAGCACTAAATTCTTTAGTAGACATTGTCTTTTACGTTGCCTTNGCACTAAATTCTTTAGTAGACATTGTCTTTTACGTTGCCTTTGTCTTTTAAAAATGGTGGATAGAGAATTTTTTTTTTGTTTTCGAATTGTCCAACGATATTTTTTTCATGTGGCACAATGTAAAGAAAGATGTGAAAAATGTTACACATATAACATGATTGGATTGAAAATCAAGCTTGTTTTCGTGCGGCGCGACCATCCAAACGGGTGTAGTGTAATTTACATCGCTTGTTCTTAAAAAAATTATTTATAGGTACTAAATTAATTTATAATTTTGACATTTCTTACGACTAAAAAATTACTTATAAATTAAAAACTTAATTTAAGTAAATATTTCTCTTTTCAATTTAAAAATTAACTTATATATATAATTACTTATAAATAAAAAATCACTTATGAGTAAAAAATTTATACAAAAAATTATAAATTGAAAATTTCACTAAGTGGCGTACACATTTACTCCATGNTATATATAGAAAAATTAAAATCGATAGATAATGAACTTTCAATCATTGATTGAATTGTTTTGATAATCAGGAAATTTGCGTGGAAATAAAATAAATCTTATGCAATACTTAAAACTTATTTGTATGAATTATTAATTAAATGTATTTCATTGATTTAATTTTCAATTTAGAAAATATTATACTTGGTCATTTTTATTGTTGTGTAGATGAAAGAAATGGGATATATGAAAAGAGTAAGAGAGAGTGAACTGCCTGAAAAATAAAAATTACTCCTCTCTAAAGAAAATAGTTTTCCTGTTTTTGATGAAAATATGGCCATATGATCAAAAGTTAAAAATTATTTTCTATGAAAAAAATTGTTAATCAAATACTGCAAAAGTAGAAATTTGGATCAAATGACATTTTTCATGAAAAATAAAATCAATTTAATTATTTTAAATGCCAAAAATCGATACTTTAAAAACATAACAAGTACAACAAAACTTCCAAGCAAAACCTTAATTATGGGCTGCATGTACAAGAAAGAAGAATTAAGGTTTGTTTGATAGACAAATGTAGAAATGAATTACAATTTCATGTTAATTGAAAAATAAAAATCTACCAAACTCATAGAAATTCATTTTCCATGAAAACAAAAAAAAATGCAATTTAAAGTGGTTGTACCTTGAAATTTGATTTCCATTTCCACGTTACAATCAAACGACCAAAGTGAAATTCGTTCTTTTCAGATTTGACATTTTTCATGAAATTCGTTGCAATCAAACGGGGACTTAGAAAAAAAAAAACGGCGATAAATTATGAAAAATTAAATAAACTATTGGATCAATTGCAAGTGAGATTATGTTATTTGTACATAAAAATAGTACATAGGGGATTATATAAAATGACGTAAAGAGAAAAGATTGCATGAAAAAAATTGACTGTTTTTAAATTGGTAAATGATATAGTGAGGTGTGATATTATATAACTCATTATGTAAAAGTTGATGTACATATAACAAGGTCCTTGCAAGTAAGATCGAGTCAACGAATATCAACAACTAACGGTTAAGGAGTTGCACAGATTTTGGAAAATATTAACCGTAATTTATTAGCAGTTATTTGTGTATTTTGAATTTTGAATTGTTCAAATAATTTGATAAACAATTATGAGCCATATATTAATAAATACTTATATGATGCACCCACTGTACATGCAAGGAAAAGTTAAAAGTATTCTTCTTTATGTATATGATTTGAACTTTACACGAACAAATCCTCATAATGTAGATAATTATTAAAAAAATAATATCTAGCACCTCTCTCATAGGGAAATGGTGTGCTAGACATCCTCTGCCTCTTTTTCCTTTTTTGCAGACATTTTGAATTGACACGCTTGTTGGTGCAATCCATAGCCCATTGGGATGCTCTAAATGCCCAATGTTGCCCAAGCTCAATGGTTAGAGATTTCTAGTCTCTAATTGCTATTAATATCCTTTCATTATAATTGGATTTAAAAAGAATTGGTACTAAAATCAACAAAAATAGCACTACAAAACAAGACATTAAGATGACTATCTTTAGACTAAATTTACAAAAAATTATTCATCCATACTTCGCAATTGTGTAGTAGAAATAGAAAATTGTATACGAATTTTTTTTGGCATTAATTTTTTTTTTAAATTCAATGTTATCCTCCCAAAGGAGGTACGAACCCTTATCAAAGCAAGGTGTTACTCTTACTATCTCAATTAGACTTTGACCTCAACATTATATGACTTTGAAGGCCTCTCTGGAGGAAATTATTTCAACCAAAAAACAATTTTCCGACCGTTGAGCGCCGCAGTTGTTGACTGAAAACCAATTCAACTGGGTCCCACAACTGGATAATGTCATTTGGCTATCAACTTGATTCCCCATTTTGTCCCTGCATGACCGTTGAGTAGGCTTGAAGTGAAGGTAAAATTGGAAAAATTGAAGTTAGGGCCTGAACTTTTTCTGAAACTAGTGTCAGTTTAATTTAAAAGTAGATAGGCCATTTAAAAATTCAACGGTCCAAATTGTAATTTTCAGCAGCACCAGATAGGCCCTTAAACTTTTAGCGATTTTATTTTTTATATATTTTAATAGCCAATTGAAATTAAAATTTGATTCCACCTTGTGAATTTGGATGAGGCGGTTAGCGTCAATAATGAAACATTAAGAACCATTTGTACATAAGGGTCATACATTAGGGACCATTTACTTCAATTTTCCATTTCTGTAGTGTAGTATAATTTCAAATGTTTTATTAGCCTATATTTGTCTCTCATTCTTTTAAAACTCTTTTCTCTACATATTCATTTCCAACCTCAAATTTAAACAATAAAATATTTTACAAGTGAATTCAAAAAAAAAAAAATCTACATTTTAACTACACATTCTCCAAAAATTTTAACATTGAAAATAACTTTTTTTCAAAAAAAGAGAGAGATGTAAGCGTTATGCCCTAAATCCAATCAATTTTGGATATAAACACTTTTAATATGTATATATATAATCGATGTGTATTTATGGCAATATCTACAATTAAATTAAATTAATATTCTAATAAATTAAATAATTGAATCCGTAGATTCAAATTTTAGTGATTTATCAATTACAATGAATTGTAATTGTAAGATACAAATTAAATATGACTGAATCTTAAATTGTCTGTGATCGTATGTAATAATGATGTACGTATATCGTTATTACGGATAGATCATCACGTGCGATATTTCTTACTTATGAAGTAAGTAGTTGATCACACAAGTTAAAGTGTTGTAGCATTTGAATGAACACGTAGATGTTTTGTTAACATTGTAGACCGGCGAGAGATTCCACATAGATAACTATCAGAGTGTTAGTGGTTAATCTCTAACGTTCGGTAGTGGAATTGGTCATTTGACTTGAGGTCATCATAGTGCCTTAATGATGACAGTCATACTTTGGTGATATTCGATGTTGGAGACCAAAGGTCGTTAATACAATATCGTGTCATCATAGTGCCTTAATGATGACAGTCATACTTTTGTGATGTTCGATGTTGGAGACCAAATGTCGCTAATACAATATCGTTCGGGTATGTCAAAAATCATATGAAAGTTGTGAATTATCAATAGATGATTCGTCACTCTTAGATAGTAAGAGATTATGATTTGCATTTTATCAAATTAAGTTGATAATGAAATCCTTGACCAATGTGAGCTCATAAGTCGAAAAAGAGTTTTCGACTTATATTGACTTAACAGTAGGATAAAAAATACGATTGACAATTGAGATTGACACATATCCATATTTTAGAATCGATTGGATCATATGGACGAAATTATTATAATTTCACGGTAAACAAACAAGTTAGATGGAAATTGACTACTAATGTTAATAGAAGGATTTTTAGTGCAATCAATGGCCCAATTTGTCTCCCATTATTTCAAAACATTGTTTGCTATAGTAAGATTCACAACTACATATTTACCCAATAAAATAGTTTACACACAAATCAATAAAGTTACTTAAATTTCAACCACACGTTTTTCAAAAAATATTATTCATTATTCAATTTATTCTACAATAATGAGAGACAAACACACACTAAGGGTGAAAATGCTAAGAAATAAAAAGTAGCGACATTTTGCATAATAACAGTAAAAAGTAAAGACGTTACGTGTTAATTACTCCATCTAAAATTACTAATAATTTTTTTGGAGGAATAATATTGAGTTCCACGAAGTACGTGAATAATTACAAATATGAAATTAATATTTGAATTCAATTAAACGAATTAAAAAATATCACTAACTTTTTTATAAATTCAAACAGATGTCGAGTATTCATTAAACACCAAATACGTTAAGGCCCGATTTGATTTAGATAAAAAAAAAAAAAAAGTTTTTAATAAATTTTATTTAAAGTTGATAGAACATGTGATTGAAAATTTTAAATACTACAAAATGTGTAATTAAAATTTAATATTAATTAGATTTTGTAGATTAATATCAAGCGATCACATATGTTGATTATTAAGGCTTGTTTGAGCCATATTTTTGTCCAAAAAAATGTATTTTTTAAATGGTGCATTGATGAAAAATGTGTGGTTAAAAAATAAGATTTTTTTTTTTTGAAT